GTCAGTGCAGAGGACCCAGCCAGTGTACGTCGCGCGATTGAGCACGTCCCGCGCCGCGGAGATGAGCAACATCCGGTCGCCGACGTCCTTCAGCGTCACCCCGCTCTTCTTCAGCTGGCCAGCCGAAAGCAGATTTGCCTGCATGCCCGGGACGAAGAGGACGTTGGAGATGAGCACCCGCTTTCCGGCCTTCCCCTGCAGAGCAACCGTGCCACGGCCGCGAACGTCCTGCAGCGCCCCATTGAAACCGCGCACGTGCTTCACGTCGCCGCTCGGCCCCAAGTCGACAAAGGCCTCCTTCGTCCCCATCAGATGGTGCGAGCAGCCGCTGTCAAGCAGGACCACCGCGGGGTTTGCTTGCACAGCTGCCGCCACCGCCTGGAAATCCTCGCCAGCCTCCGGCGCCAGCGAGACGGTCGGCTCCACGATACCGACCAGCGAGCACGACGCCTCCTTGTCGCCTCGCCCTTTGCCACCCGCGGAAGAGTCGGCGTCCTTCGCCGAGGTCGACTTCGTCGACTGCTTCTCTTTTCGCGGCTGGTTTCCTCGACGCAGACGACGGCTGCCAGACCTCCCGCGGCCTCCCTTGGTTTCGTCATCGTCCGAGTCACTGCGGTCGGGACACTCGAAGGAGAGGTGATCGGGATCGCCGCACAGCCAGCATTCCCGACGTCGACCTCCTCCTCCACGACTGCCCTCCTTGGCCGACTTCTGCTTGTCAGCATCCTTCGCCGGCTTCCCGCCACCGCGGTGACTGCCACCAGAATACCCGCGCTGTCCCGGTCGACCACCTTGCTTCGCGGGGGCGACGTAATTCACTTGCGCGAGGAGCTCCTGGGACCGCTCAGCCTCCTGCATCGCCTCGTCCTGCAGGATGTACGAGGTTAATGTGTCCTCGTTGAGCGTCGCCCGCGTGCTCGGCGCCATCGACAGCCGCTTCAGCAGGTTGTAGCTGCTTGGGAGTCCCTGCATGACTTGTGTGATGTACGACGACGTTGAGTACTCCGCGCCAGCCATCCGAATGGTGGCGAGAATTCGCCGAGCTCGGTTGCAGTAGTCAGTCGCGGTCTCCTCGTCGCCCATACGCAGGTGCGTCAACTGCCCCTCAAGCTGGGCGATGAACAAGTCGTCGGTGACCTGGTAAGTTGACTCGATGAAATGCCACGCCCGGTGGCCGGCGTCGAGGTACTCCCTACACGACTTCAGTGCGATCTGTACGCCCGGCAAGCAGCACCGCGAAATGACCGTAAAGGTCAGCAACTGCACGGCGCGAAATTCCGCTCGCAGGTCAGGGTAGTGCTCCTCCGGCGTCGCCACGGTCCCGCGGGCGAAACCCATCAGCCCGGCCATCTCCAGCTGGGGCTCGATGGCTTCCTTCCACGTTAGGATGTCAGGACGACCGACCAGCGGAGGTGAGACCGAGATCCTGTCTGGCGTAAACTTGAAGTAGCCGTAGCTCGGCGCAATTCCTCCCGTGGTAACGTGAGTCGCCGACATCGGCGCCAATTCACTTCGTCTGCCTCCGACGTAGTTTCACGAGGCCCCTGCAGCTGTCGATGGCTGCATCCCTCGCGCCTGAACGTCGCCGACTTCATCGGCGCGAATCACACCTCGCTGCCTCGATATGCCTCCCGCGCTGCTACCGACTTGGTCACCCGCGGCGTTGATTCCCGCGTCGACGCCGCCTGTGTTGTTCACCGGTCGAGGAGATGCAGGCCGAGAAGGGGGGTGCTCTGCCGCCCACAAGGCGCGGGATGCCAGCCTCGACCACCGTCAGTGGGAGAGTTCCATACTCGTTCGCCGCATGACGTCTCCTCGTGTCCTCCAGCCGTGCTTCCAAGGTGTCCACGGCGCCCGCCTCTACCACGGGGTCCACCATGGCGTCCAACACAGCCGCCGGTCTACGAACAAACTAGGTGAGTGAGAAGTCAGCTAAACCGAAGGTTTCTTCGCGGTGTCGTCCACGCTCACCGCACCATGCGTAGATAATTAGTGCAACGGGAGCTAGACTATGGGCTAGGCACGGGGCAAGAGTGATCGTAGCGTTCGTTCGTTCCTTAGTCGTTTCCAAGTGCTAACACTGCTTGCTAGTTCACCGGGAAAATTGGCAAGAGTTTCACTAGGAAAACCTGACAACAAAAGTTCAGAATGATTGCATCAACATTGGCAACACAGACTACATCAGACCTAGCAAGGCTGCTGGTCGACTGCCAGCGCAGCACAACTTGGTCGACCGCGCTCCAGCAGAGCAGAGTCGCGGCTTGCCAATGTTGCAAGTTTGCGGGTGTGCCAATGCTGCAGTAAGTCGGCTGCATAGCGTTGCACCCGCTTGACAATGGTGCACCAGCTTCGCAGGTGCGTGCAGCTGGTTGGCGCCCAACTCCCCGTCACATGCCCAGCGCAGACACTCCACACGTGACGGCGCCCACCAGCCACGTCGACCTCGGGATACCACCCCGAGGTCGTCCTCGCTGACAACACCCCACCATGCGGAGATAATTTGTGCAACGGGAGCTAGACTACGGGCTAGGCACGGGGCAAGAGTGATCGTAGCGTTCGTTCGTTCCTTAGTCGTTTCCAAGTGCTAACACTGCTTGCTAGTTCACCGGGAAAATTGGCAAGAGTTTCACTAGGAAAACCTGACAACAAAAGTTCAGAATGATTGCATCAACATTGGCAACACAGACTACATCAGACCTAGCAAGGCTGCTGGTTGACTGCCAGCGCAGCACGACTTGGTCGGCCGCGCTCCAGCAGAGCAGAGTCGCGGCTTGCCAATGTTGCAAGTCTGCGGGTGTGCCAATGCTGCAGTAAGTCGGCTGCATAGCGTTGCACCCGCTTGACAATGGTGCACCAGCTTCGCAAGTGCGTGCAGCTGGTTGGCGCCCAACTCCCCGTCACATGCCCAGCGCAGACACTCCACCCGTGACGGCGCCCACCAGCCACGTCGACCTCGGGATACCACCCCGAGGTCGTCCTCGCTGACAACACCCCCCCAGCAACCTTCGCGCACGTCGCCCGAGTATCCTGGTTGACCGGGTATTTCACGGTCCTCCCGCGGTTTCGCGGCCCCCACGGTCCTCCCGCGATTTCGCGGCCCCCACGGTCCTCCCGCGGTTTCGCGGCTCCCACGGTCCTCCCGTGGTTTCGCGGCCCCCACGGTCCTCCCGCGGTTTCGCGGCTCCCACGGTCCTCCCGTGGTTTCGCGGCTCCCATGGTCCTCCCGTGGTCGGCTCCGCCCAAGCGAGGACGGGGCCAAACACAACTCCCGTTGACATGCACAGCACTAACAATATGATAATTAATCTAACAATGAAACACTACTCACATGGTGACAGAACAAGGAATGCCACTAACAAGACAATCGAACAAGGAACACTCCTCACAAAAGCATCTTAACTGAATGGGGAACAGCACAAACATATTCATTCAATGAGGAACACTACTCACACATGTCAAGCAAACGAGGAACAGCACTAACAAGACTTTGACGCTTTTGAGATTGCCGATGGTTGCAGGGATGGTGCCATTTAAGCTGTTATAACAAAGCCCCCTGATGAGCGAACGAACACGGAGGGGACACATACAAAGCAAAAGAACCGACACAACACATGAGGGGCAAGCGGGAATCGATCTAAAGACAATCTCCCTTTTGTGGGCGCTTTATTGTGGCTCAGATTCAGGCGCACCATCCCAACTTTCACCAGGCCATGTGCATTTCCTTGTTGATTTTCTCCCATTTACTACCCAAAACAACTAGCTTAGATTAGATATCAGCAAAGCAGAGTCAAACCGAATCGGGCTCAATTCAGTCCCCGCTCAACGCCCAGACAACAACCCAAGCCAACCCAGGCCACACCAAGTCGACTCGGCTCAATCGGTCTCACAGCCGACCCTTTATGGCTAATGGGCTGAATCAGCCAGGCTGCTGGCTCGCAGTCAGAAGAAAAACTGGCTGCTGGTAGACATGCGTAAACAACAAACGAGGTGAGTAATACTTCCTCTGTGTATGTCATATATCAATTCTGGTGATCTCTCGAGACTAGCCTGGTGGCCTTGAGAGGCATACAGGAAGACAAACAGACAACTTAGAGATGCTTGCGAGCCAAATGACTAACTTGAGATTAGCTTGCTGGCTCAAGAAGGCCAACCCTTGCATGCAAGCCATGAGGCAAGTGGCAAGCCATGATGAAAGGGGCAAATGACAAGCTCTGACGCTCTGAGTGCCGAAACCGAACATGTGATCGCCTACCCTTGGCTCAGGTCAGTTGGGTTGTGCAAGGGACCAGCCTCTACTGCCTCTCCTCGTGCCAACCGACTCAGTGGCTATAGAGAAATAAAAAAAGTCGTTCTAAAGTTGCAAACATCTGGAGTTGGAGTGTTGTTCGGACAGTGGAGAATTGATGTGAGCCTGTGACACCAGGTTTAGGGCTTAATTTGATGGAGAAACAGAAACTCACAAATAGGTTAGCTTGGGAAGGTTGCCAATAGTCGATGGTATCGGGCCAGTCAAGTTACTAAAGCAGATCGCCCAATCAATGTCTAGGGTTTGTTTGTTCCCTCGACATTGACTTCGATCTGCAATACCTAGGCAGCTAGCAAGCAATCGTTCTCAAGCTCTACTACTCTCTAAACACGTGCCCATGTTAAGGAACACTATTACAAGTGTTTCCATGTTGGCGGAAGGGTCTTCTTAACCTACCGCGACCAGTCAGAGATGTTCGATTTTATAGAAATAGTTATTCCTAGCTCTCACAAGCGACTAAACTCCGGCCCCGCGTTCTAATCGCCCCCTGCGCGCCTACCAGGCCCACATCGATAGGGACGCGACCCCCCATAGTCTAGGGCCGCGCCGTTATAATAACATCACGATTCCACTTGAAGCAAACGTACGCAGCCCCGCTTGCACGCGAATGGAGGGGGAGGAAGACAGTTCACACACTATTCCTGGGGCTTTGCTTGGAGGCCACCTGACACCGGCCTCCAGGGCCACTTTTCGCTTAGGGAGCGTCTTCAATGAGCTTGGGTGGGACGATGCTACCGCGGCCAGGAGGCGTGAAGAGTTGCGGGAATGGGAGTCTCAAGGACCTGCACCAGTGACGGAGGAGCAAGGAACACGGGGAAAGGAGAAGGACCCGGATTATAGGCCTGCGCCGGGAGAGGCGGACGGCGCGAGTGGAGGATCGGGTAATGAGGGTTGGGGAGGGAGAGGAGGGGGCCAGGCTGGTGGCAGTGGCACGCACGGCAGCGGTGCAGCAGCAAAGAGGCCACGTGCCAGTAGGCCTGTGGGGTCAGGAGCAAGAGGGGCCGGGCCAGCGTCGAATGCGCAGCCGCAGGGGGTTGCCGCGGGTGGTGCTGATGGGTCAAGCGCAGCAGGGGCAGGTACCTCCGCCGCTGCGGCTGGTGGTGCACCTGCGGGGGTCTGCGGGGGCTGGATCTGCTGCTGTGATTGCAAGCCGGAGCTTCGACAGGGCGGGCAGGACCCCTGACGATGCGGAGCTGGACCCATGGACTGAGGAGGTACTTAGTAATGCGGAGATAACTGCTGCAACGGGAGTTAGATTACGGGCTAGGCACGTGTGCTCGTGTGATCTCTGCGTTCGTTCGTTCCTTAGTCGTTTCCTTGTGCGCACACACTTGCTAGTTCACGGCGAAAGTTGGCAAGAGTTCCACTAGGAAAAGTTTAGAACAATGGTCGCAATAACATTGGCATCACAGACTACATCAGAGCTAGCTAGGCTGCTGGTCGACCTCCAGCGCAGCATGGTCGACCGCGCTCCAGCGCAGCAGCGCTCGCACCGCTCCAGCGTTGCAGAGTAGCGGTTCGCCAACGTTGCAGGTCCATGGTGTGCCAACGCTGCAGCAAGTCGGCTGCACAGCGTTGCACCCGCAGGACAACGGTGCAACTGCTTCGCAGGTGCGTGCAGCTGGTTGGTGCTCCACACCTTGTCACGAGCACAGCGCAGATGCGTGGCAGACTCCACGCCAGCGACTGCGCCCACCAGCCACGTCGACCTCGGGATACCACCCCCGAGGTCAGCCTCGCAGACTCCACCCCGGCGACACTCGCGCACGTCGCCCGGGTATCCCGATCGACCGGGCAACCAAGCCCGGTCAACCAGCGCAGTCCGTAGCTGGCCACCAATGCCCGGCGTCCCCAGTCCGGCGTCCAGGCGCCCAGGACGCCTTCCGAACCCCCAGGTCGGCGTCCAGATCCCCAGGACGCCGTGCAGACCTCCAGAGTGGCGTCCAGCCTCCCAGGACGCCGACCAGACGCCCAGGTCAGCGTCCGGGCCCCCAGGACGCCCAAATCGGCGTCCAAGCCCCCAGGACGCCGTGCAGACGCCCAGGGCGGCGTCCCAGGCTCCTGGGACGCCGTGCAGGCGCCCACGACATCGACCAGGCGCCCGGGTAGTCGTGGCAACGCCCAGCTCGGCGTCCAGCTTCGCAAGACGCCGTTCAGGTGTCCAGGACGCTGTCCAGGCGTCCAGGACGGCGTCCTCCTGCTCGGCGCCCTCCAGCCAGGCGCCCTCCAGCTAGGCGCCCTTGCAGTGGCCCCCCGTGCCCACTGCTGCAGGTCGGCTGCAACCCCCGAACATCCAACCACGAGGTCGGCTCCGCCCAAGCGAGGACGGGGCCACACAACACTATCGTCGACACTCCCCTGCCGCGTTCACGCTTGGGCCCCCAGCCCACACGGCAGTACAGCTCAGAGAAAAGCTCAGCAGCGTGCACACAACACACAGCACGCCGATCACCGCACCAGTCATGCAAGTGGGCATGGCACCTACTGCTGCACGTCGTCGTCACCGTCGCCCACATCGGCCAGGCGCACCTGGCTGATGGCGACGGAACACCGCTTGAAGGACGGATAGTGCAGCGCCTTTGTCAAGAAGTCGGTTGGCTGCTCAGCGGTCGGGATGTACCGCAGCGAGAACTTCCCGCGCTTCACCATGTATTGCAGCCAGGCCTGTCGCCGCTCCATGTGCTTGAGGTTGCCTGTCAACCCCATGCCCTCGGCGAGCGTGATGGCCGACTTGTTGTCCACGCGCAGGACAGTCGGCTTCCCGCCGTCCAGCTGCCGGAACTCAGCGAGGAGGAAGCGAAGGCGGCGTCCCTCCTTGCCGGCTTCAGTGGCCGCCACGTACTCCGACTCGGTTGACGACAGCGTCGCGCACTTGATGCGTTGGATCGACCAGGAGACCGCGACCCCTCCGTAGACGAACACGTAGCTGCCAGTGCTCGTCCTGTTCTGCTTGTCACCGGCATCGTCGGCGTCCACGTAGCCGACAAGCTCCAGCGACTCAGGTCCACCGCCGAACTCCAAGGCGGTGTCACGCGTGTTGGTGAGGTAGGCGAGGCAACGGTCGACCTCGTGCCAGTGCTGGTCGCTCCTCACCGTGAGGCCGCTCCCCAGCCTGCTGCAGGCGAAGGCAATGTCCAGCCTCGTCGTCATCGCCGCAAACTGCAGTGAGCCGAACTTCTTCCGGTACTCCTCCTTGCACTCCTGCGCCTCCTCGTCGTCGAAGGTGAGCTCGGCGTAGGCCTCGACCGAGAGCGGGGTCTTCGGGGTGCGCCCGGTCTGCTCCTCGTCGATGAAGCACCTACGCAGCTTGTCGGCGTAGCCCTGCTGGTGCAGCCACAGCTTCCCCGCCGACCTGTCGCGCACGATCTCCAGGCCGAGATACTTCTGCACCGGCGAGATCTCACGCAGCTCGAAGGCGGCCTCCAGCAGCTCCTTCAGCTCCTTGAGCATCGCAGGGCTGCTGCTGGCGGCGAGCAGGTCGTCGACGTAGACCAGCACCCAGAAGGCCACACCGTCGTCGCCGACCTTGAAGTACAGAGCCTCGTCACCCTGGCTCTTCTTCCACCCGGCGCCGATCAGCACGTCGTTGAGCGCCAAGTACCACAACAGCGGCGACTGCTTCAGGCCGTACAGGCTCTTCAGCAGCTTGCACACTCGGCCGGTTCCGTCGTTGAAGTAGTCCGGCTAGGACATGTAGAGCACCCGGTCGAGCTTGCTCTGCAGGAAGGTGTTCTTCATGTCGAGCTGCATCAGGTTGAGGTTGAGCACGGCGACGATGCTGAGGAAGATCCTCAGCGTGACGTAGCTGCCCACCGGCACGAACGTCTCATCGTAGTCGGCGCCGTACACCTACGTGAAGCCCTTCACGACCAGCCTCGCCTTCTCTCGCTCGACGGTGTCGTCGATGTGGTACTTCGTCGTCAACACCCACCGGTTCTTCATGATGTTCACTCCCGGCGGGCGTTCAACCAGCTCCCACGTGCCCATGTTGATGAGGCTGCGGATCTCCTCCTCTATGGCGGCCTTCATCGCTGGGCCCTTCCAGCTTGCCAACGCCTCCTTGACCGTCATCGTCGAGATGTTCCAACGGTGCTCGGGGTCGGCTAGCATGTCGGGGTCGAGCTCCGAAAACTCGTCATCCTCCTCGGCGTCGTCGTACAGCAGTTCGTCGTCATCATCGTCCACGTCGTACACCGTGGTGAAGGCAGCGGGGACGAAGAAGTCAGGCGGCCTCCGAAGTCGGCCTGAGCGCCGTGGTCCTGGCTGGGCCTCCTCAGCGTCCCCTCCATCGTCGCCGGCGTCGCTGTCCTCGGCGTCCTGCTGCACTTCAGCCGGCGTCCCAGGCAACCGCTCCCCTGTGGTCGGCGTCCCAGCCGACTTCTCCCCTGTGGTCGGCTCTCCTGCCGACTGCCCGGTCGCCAACTGCTCCTTGGTCGGCGTCGCTGCTGCCTGCTCCCCTATCAGCTGCTGTTCTGCAGACGTCTCCTTCACCAGCTTCACCAAAGTCGGCTGCACCACCTGCTGCCTCCCAGTCGGCGTCAGCTTCGCTCCCACGCCGGCTGGCACAGCAACACGTCGGCCACCGGCGATGCTTCGGGCCGGCGCCACAGGTGACGCCCCACTTCTCCCCTCATCGCTGGAGGCCAACGTCGAGGCCAGCCCAGGCAAGTCGGCAACAGGGGGAGTGGCAGGTGGAGGAAAGGAAGCGGGGACGGCCTCGGCGTCCTCATCAGCAAGCTCACCGACCTTGGCGAGCAGAGGCAGCGTCGGAGCCGAGGTGTCCGTTGGCGGGGGAACCGGCATCCGCCCTGACGCCGGCCCGTGCGCCGACATCCAAACTTCCAGCGACATGCTCTCGTAGAACACCACGTCCGACGTGGTGACCACCTGGTTGTCGGCGATGTCGAGGAGCTCCCAGCCCTTGCTCTCCTCCGACACGCCGAGGTGAAGGCCCCACTGGGCCTTCGGCTGCAGCTTCCCACCACGCAGCTGCTCGGGGACCAAGAACTGTGCCATGCAGCCCCAAACCCGTGCCAGCGACAAGTCGGGCTTCTTCCCGGTCAGCAGCTGGTACGGCATTGTCCCCGGCGGCAGCGCCCACCTCTCAAGGCATTTGCGGATCTAGACGGCCTGCCGGAGAGCGAGGTACCACCAGTGGTGCTGCACGCCCATGTGCAGCAGCATCGTCCGCACCGACTCCACCACCGTCCTCATCTCCCGCTCCGCCATGCCGTTCTGCTGCGGGGTGTACGGGCAGGTCAGGTCGTGGACGATCCACTTGCCGTTCACGAAGTTGGTGAACTGCTTCCCGAGGAACTCCCCTCCCCGGTCAGAGCACAGCATCAACACGGACCGCTTCGTCTATCTCTCAGCCGCCGCCAGCTACTGCACGAACTCCCGCAACACATCGGACTTCTTCGCGACCGGCCTCACCCACACGTAGCGGGTCTTGCGGTCCTTCAGCAGCAAGAAGTACAGGCTGCCATCCTTGGCAGCCACGCGGAACGGCCCGCACAGGTCGATGTATACAACGGCCAGTACGTCGTCGGCGTTGGAGCCTTTGTCGGGGAAGGTGTGCCGTGTTAGCTTACCGCTGACGCACGAAACACACGGGGAGTCGGCGCCGGACGCCGACTTGAGGTCCAGCCCGATGGCGACCTCGTGCTTCGCCGAGCTCCGGATGGTGACGTGCGCAAGCATTGCGTGCATTCTGTCCGGCGTTGCCTTCGTCACCGAGACGATCGCGCGCAGGGCCACTATCTCCGTGGTGGGCGTCGTCGGTTTGGCCAAGCAGGGGCGCAGGTCGGTGCAGAGGACACGCCTGGTGTACGTTGCCCGACCGAGCACCTCCCCTGCTGCCGAGACGAGCAGCATCCCGTCGCCGTCCTCCTGCAGCTTCACGCCGTGCTCCTTCAGCTGGCCGGCTGAAAGCAGGTTTGCCCGGACGCCTGGTACGTACAGCACGTCGGTGATGAGCACCTGCTTCCCGGCCTCCCCTTTCAGGGCGACAGTGCTGCGGCCCTGAACGTCCTGCAGCGCCCCATTGAAGCCGCGAACGTGCTTCACGTCGCCGCTCGGCCCTAGGTTGACGAAGGCCTCCTGCGTTCCCATCAGGTGGTGCGAGCAACCGCTGTCAAGCAGGACCACCACTGGGTTCGCCTGCACCGCTGCCGCCACCGCCTGGAAGTCCTCACCGGCCTCCAGCACCAGCGAGACGGTCGGCTCCACGACGCCAACCAACGAGCACGACGCCGTCTTGTTGTCCTTCGCCTTGCCGCCAGCAGAGGAGTCGGCGTCCTTCGCCGAGGTCGACTTGGTCGACTGCTTCGCCTTGCGCGGCTTGCTTCCACCTCGACGAGGACGACGGCTGCCAGATTTTCCTCGGCCTCCCTTGGTGTCGTCGTCATCGGAGTCACTACGGTCGGGGCACTCGAAGGAGAGGTGGTCGGGGTCGCCGCACAGCCAGCATTCCCGGCGTCGGCGTCACCCTCATCGCATCCTCCAGCCGTCCCTCCAGGGTGTCCTCGCCTCGGCGTCGCCTACGCGCACGCTAGTGACTGCAAGGCTGCCGGTCTACGAACACGATCGGTAAGTGCAAAGTCGGCTAGACTGAACTACGTCGCGGTGTCGTCCACGCTCACCGCACCATGCGGAGATAACTGCTGCAACGGGTTCTAGATTACATGCTTGGCACGTGTGCTCGTGTGATCTCTGCGTTCGTTCGTTCCTTAGTCGTTTCCTTGTGCGCACACACTTGCTAGTTCACAGGGAAGGTTGGCAAGAGTTACACTAGGAAAAGTTTAGAACAATGGTCGCAACAACATTGGCGTCACAGACTACATCAGAGCTAGCTAGGCTGCTGGTCGACCTCCAGCGCAGCATGGTCGACCGCGCTCCAGCGCAGCAGCGCTCGCACCGCTCCAACTTTGCAGAGTAGCGGTTCGCCAACGTTGCAAGTCCACGGTGTGCCAACGCTGCAGCAAGTCGGCTGCACAGCGTTGCACCCGCAGGACAACGGTGCAACTGCTTCGCAGGTGCGTGCACCTGGTTGGTGCTCCACACCTTGTCATGAGCACAGCGCAGATGCGTGGCAGACTCCACGCCAACGACTGCGCCCACCAGCCACGTCGACCTCGGGATACCACCCCCGAGGTCGGCCTCGCAGACTCCACCCCGGCGACACTCGCGCACGTCGTCCGGGTATCCCGGTCGACCGGGCAACCACGCCCGGTCAACCAGCGCAGTCTGTAGCCGGCCACCAATGCCCGGCGTCCCCAGTCCGGCGTCCAGGCGCCCAGGACGCCTTCCGAACCCCCAGGTCGGCGTCCAGATCCCCAGGACGCCATGCAGACCTCCAGAGCGGCGTCCAGCCTCCTAGGACGCCGACCAGATGCCCAGGTCAGCGTCCAGGCCCCCACGACGCCCAGATTGGCGTCCAAGCCCCCACGACGCCGTGCAAACGCCCAGGGCGGCGTCCCAGGCTCCTAGGACGCCGTGCAGACGCCTAGGTCGGCGTCTGGCCTTCCTGGACGCCGTGCACGCGCCCACGTCATCGACGAGGCGCCTGGGTAGTCGTGGCGACGCCCAGCTCGGCGTCCAGCTTCGCAGGACGCTGTCCAGGCGTCCAGGACGGCGTCCTCCTGCTCGGCGCCCTCCAGCCAGGAGCCCTCTAGCTTGGCGCCCTTGCAGTGGCCCCCGTGCCCACTGCTGCAGGTCGGCTGCAACCCCCGAACATCCGACCATGAGGTCGGCTCCGCCCAAGCGAGGACGGGGCCACACAACACTCCCGTTGACAAGTAATGCAGAGGCCGGGTTGGTTCGTGGCATGTTCGGTGAGAAGGTGAATGATGCTTAGGCTTGCAAGATTTGCCGAACGAAGATTAGCTGGAAAAGGAGTAGGACAAGCGCGCGGAAGAGATACCTCAAGAGGAGCCACTACCCCAGTCTGCAAATTTGGTGTCGGCGTTTCAAGGATCCAAACAAGCCAGAGAACCTGACGTTTCCCGATGGGGGATGGGGTCCAGATGTCCCCGACCCCACAGCGTGGCCTTGGGAGCATGTCACCACGTGGCCCACGATTGTACAGACACCCGAGGGTACGCCCGCCAGCGTAGTGACTGGCGGCATTGCGGCTGGTGGGAGTAGGCAGATGAACATGGGCGCATTCGTCGTGCCGCGTGTTCATGGCCAGCAGCTGCACGAGGGGTTGGTGGAGCTATTTGCGGCAGCCGACCTTCCGTTTCGACTTGTTGAGTGTCGCGAGGTGAATGACGCCATAATCCTGTCGTTGTTCATGCTCATTTTCGTACTGGCGTGGTCATATTTGTGTAGCCGCACTGCATTCCATAGGCTTTCCCGATGCTTCTTCATAATCCTTTTACCGACATCCACACCACCATTCATGCGTTTGTATTTGCATATACAGTTTAAGGTATTTGTCCAGATGCTGAACCCGGGAGCTGCGCTACTGCTCGGCTCACGCCATCGCTTGGCACGGGACATGCAGGCATATGGGGAGGCTGCTAGGGAGGACATGCGGTAGCTATTGGTGGGTGATGGCCTGGCGGGAAGAATGTCCCTCACCTTTGACATCTGGACCGGTGAGAATAACGTGGCCTTCATGGGGGTGACTGCCCACTATGTCGCCAGCGATTTCCAGCTGAAACAGGCTGTTATAGACTTCAGGGAGCTGAAGGGCTCTCATACGGGGGACTTGATAGCCGATGAGCTCGAGGAGGTGTTGAGGGAGTGGGGCTTGGAGAAGATGCTGTTCGCCGTGACGTGTGACAACGCCGAGAACAACAGCAGGGCGATGCGTCTGCTGGCTGGTATACCTGACGCCAGGCCGGGCTCACGGCCTAGGCACCCACCACTGCTTAGTCGCTGGAGGCACTTCACGTACTATTGGGCCGTCTCCGTAAGGGTATGCTATATACTGGTGGCGTTGCAGACCATGGTTGTTATTGCAGTGCTTATGTGGTACATTGACACTAAACCCACGCTGCACAATGCATTGCCCCAACAGGTGCGTGGCGCACGTCGTCAACCTTGCAGTGCAGGCTGCACTGAAGGTTGACGAGGTGGCCGAGCCACTCAAGAGGCTGCGAGATGTGGCGAACTACATCAGCTGGTCCACGCTGCGCACAGATTGTTTCTTCGAGCTCCAGAGGGGATATGCGGCAACCCAGCCCCAGGGTCCTCCCGGTTCGCGGTGAGCATCGGGTCCGTTGCGCTTGATCGTGGACTCGCCGACGAGATGGGGTTCTACACTCAACATGGTGAACAGGGGCTTCGAGCTGCGCATGCCTATTGCCATGTTTTTCAACGATTCCGATGTACGTATTGTAGGACTAACATGGGCGTGTGACAATGGCAAATGGGGGTATGTAGGCATGGCTTGACTAGTGAAGCATGTTGTTATTTGCGTAGCCATGTGACTGTAACGAAGTGCGCGTCAGTACATGGATTCTTGGATGGTGCTTTATGTCTTGTGCATTGCCATACCCAAAAGTCATTGCCATACTTCCATCTTTACAACCCATGTGACCCATTCCAGCCATCCATCAGCAAGGAGAGTCGGAAGGCATGGGACACCATCAGGTTGACGGATGCGCGCTGGGACGACCTCGCTGAGCTCCGAGACTTCCTCACCCCATTCGAGCAAGTCACCCTCTTCGCCGAGGGTTCCCTGTACCCTACCCTCTCAGCCGTTGTACCGCAGTGCAATGCGCTGATTGATCTGCAGGAGAAGGCACAGCTCACTCCTGGCATCTCCCCTCTGCGCTCATCGCTGATTACTGCTGCTCTGAGCAAGCTGGGGCGACACATAGGGGGTGTGAGCGAGGAGGCAGCGATTTCTCGGACCCGCGCCAGAAGCTTGCACCCTTCAAGCACTGAGCGAGGGCAGCGGAGAGGAATTCGAGAGGGGCAACACTGGAGCTAGGCCCTGATAGGGTGAAGGCCCTGGTACGGGCGCGCCTTCCAGAGTACCAGGCAGCCAGCACCATGGCACAGGGCGATGATGGGGAGGTGACTAGTGCGAGGGGTGCAGGGGTGCATGCATCGGCAGGGGGCGGGGCTGTGGATGCATCGGCAAAGGTCAGCATCCAGTCTCAGTTGTTCACAGCGTGGGACGCCATGGAGGCCGAAGAGGGGGAGGATCCACAGGATGAGGTGGATCAGTACCTTGCAGAGGGGAGGCAAAGGGGTGGAAGCGCATTGGAGTATTGGCGCAGCAGGGAGACCCTAAAGGGCTTGAGGGCGATGGCTCGCGATTATTTGGGGGTACCGGCTTCGTCAGCAGTGAGTGAGTGCACATTCTCACAAAGCAGGAACATCATTACTTGGGAGCAACACCGACTAGCAGCTGGCCAATTGCGTGCTTCCATGCTGATTAAGACGTGGCAGGACCACCACCCTTTGGGGACTCTCGCTCCCAAGGGCACCTCAACGGCAAATCCTTCCCTGGGAGTGGAGGATGAATCGAGGGGGTTGTGATATTTGTTCGTGATTGATGCTTATGCCCTAAACTACAACAAAACACGTGATCGGACCTAAACTTGATTGGTTCTTGTTCCCGTACCTCGAACTACTAGGTGACTCCGATAGCGTTTAGGCCGTTGTAGCATTTTTCCAAACACGTGTAACAGTTTAAGCAACTTTGAATAGTTTATTTACAAAATGGAGGACGTTCATATAGTAATATTACATAGATATTCAATCAATGCAGCACAGCACAGTAGTAAGAAGAACCTCTTACCCTGCATATGGGGGTCTGGCCCGACCCGACCCGACCCGGCCCCTACCCGACCGGACCCGGGGGCGGGTCACGCCTGACCCCGCACCCGATACCCGGGTCGGGCCAGGATTCTTTGAAGTCCCGACCCGACCCGACCTGACCCGACCCGGAACCCGGCTGGCCCGCCCAAGTCGGGTCGGGTCGGGTCAGGTCGGGCCTAATGATCATGCCTAATCTGCATTCGAGAAAAGGAGGGAGGGTTGTAGGAAAGGAGAGACTGAAGGCTGTGTAGCGAGCACGTTAGCAACTACATGAAACTTCGAATGAAACGACATCATGGTAGGTTTGAAAAGGTAACACGTTCTTTTTTGTTGTGCCTCGGAACCAAAAATACCCCTGGTTCAGGAGGTAAGCACGGCACTCACAAGGTGTAAGTACCTCACATGTCTCCATTTGAGTGCCTTGCATCACATGTTAACAGTCTCTCGAAGGAGGATAAGCACAGCACTCACAAGTATATAAGGCTTTGCAGGTTGCTGGTAGAGCTGGGGATGGCCCCATTGGGGTTCCCACCAGAGATAACCCTGACGAGCGGACATTGGAATGGAGGAGAGGCCATTTGCATCAGTAATGGAGGGAGAACATGCATGTGACATGCGTGTGCAGCATGGATGCACGTGATGCGATGCATGCGTGCATGTGACATGGGTGTGCGAGTCACAGCTTGCCTCTAGTTTTTTCTTGAGCCACATGCCATGTTTTTTTAGGAAAGCGGGCAATTAGTGTCTTGCTGCTCTCCTTTTTTTTTAAACGGAGGTAAGAAGGAGGAGTGTTGAGGGGGGAAAGAGGCAACATGGAGCGGTGGTCCACTCTCATGGCTCTTTTCACGCATCAGGGTCCATGTGGGTCCACTCCGATGGCTTTTCATATCACTCACAGAGCTTTGGCTCACGTCGCCTGAAGCATCGCGGTCCCCGTGCATGAGAAGCATCAGAGTCCATTTGGGTCCATTTGGGTCCATTTGGGTCCATGGGGGTCCATGGAAGTCCATGAGGGTCCATGAGGGTGTACTCACATCTTCGTAATCATGCCCTGGGCATTGCACGTGACGCTGCTGGCATTTTTGCAGTCGCCACCAACCACCCAGCCGTCAAATGTTGTGCTCCACGCCTTTTGAAATTCCAGCAGGGCTTTCGCTCGCGGCAGGGGGAGGGGAGGGTGGGAGGGACAGAGAGGAGAGAAGAGCAGCCATTGGACGAGGTGGGCATAGAGTAACACACTTATTTCATTGCATACGCCCGCATATCTTATCAATAACACCTCACTACCCACTGGGTCAACACGAGGGTTATATTTGAGGCGCAGCGGAGGCACTCAACCCTTGCGTGTAAGCCCCATCAGGCGTTACACTCATCCCCCCCTGGAGCCAACGTCCTCGCTGGGCAGGGAGTCGGCCCTCGCAACGCAAGGACCCACGGACCTCAATCTCGCTCTTCAGCGACTTCGCTGTTGGGTCAAGCCAGTGGCGGATCTTTCACTGGGTTTGCTTTGCAGCTAGGTTACCACATTCAACTTTACGCCTCTGCAGGTGCCCGTGCCCGTGCCTCTGCAGCTTCAGTCGTTGCCTCCCATCTTCTCTCCCCCACAGTCTCTCCTCCTCCTCACTTGCCCTCTGTGATTAGCTCTAGCTCCACTCCCACGGTACCCCCCTTAAACCCTAAACCCTAGGCTCCCACACACCCACCCCCCTCAGCGGCAGCTGCAGCAGTGGGAGACCAGGGAGGAGGAGGAGCAAGGGGAGTAACACACAACCGCCACCCCCACACTCCTCACCCCCAAACCCTAATTCAGGAGAACGGGCAGCAGCAGGGGTGGGGCACCGTCAGAAGCACGGGGGACAGCGAGCAGCTCAGGGACAGAGAGGAACGGGCCGCCCACGGGCCTGGCACAGCCCGACGAACCGCGCGCAGGCGGCCCGAGCCGCGCGCGGGCCTGGCGCAGCCCGTACGGGCCGCGCGCGGGCCTGGCGCAGCCCGTACGGGCCGCGCGCGGGCCTGGCGCAGCCCGTACGGGCCGCGCGCGGGCCGGGCGCAGCCCGTACGGGCCGCGCTCGGGGCTAGCGCAGCCCGCGCTGGCCAGGACGGGCGACGGGGGACGACGGGCTGGTCCCCGTCGCCCGTCGAAGCGCCCCCCGGGGGCGACGCGCGGACCGACGGGGCAGAAGGCCGCCGCGCGCCTCGGGGCGCACGGCGGGCAGAGAACCACCGCACGCCCCGGGGCGCACGGCGGGCAGAAAACCGCCGCGCGCCTCGGGGCGCACGGCGGGTAGAAAACCGCCGCACGCTCCGAGCGCGCGGCGGGAAGAGAAATCCGTCGCACGCCACGGGGCGTGCAACACACAGAGTAGCAGCGGAAGCAGCAGTAGGGCCCACAGGCCAGGAGCGTGAGTGCTCTGATACCATGTGAGAATAGTAGGTATAGTTAGGTGCCATAGCTAGGTAAGCCCTAGCTAGGTAAGAGAGAATAAGCAAAGGAGGAGGTTCACTAGCAGTAATGAGGATACATATAGCAAACCCTAGATGGGTTGTACTCGCTATGGAGCACCCCACTACAGGCTAGAGAATGACATTCTGACAGAAGGGCGCTGGGGGAACGAGGAGGGCTCAGGGATGCGGTCTCCAGCTTATTGCGGGCTTAGTACACAAAGGGTTGATTCAAGGGCATTCGCTGCGCCTCAGGCATAAGTGGGTAGCGAGGCGTGGTGAAAACATCATGGTGATGTATTCGTGTTGAGCTTCACACGCCGTGATGGCAAGTGAGGGGATGTCACATGGAACCTGCGGGGGAAGCAGGTTCTACTTGCAGCACGCGTCGCAGTACGTTGAATAATCAGCGTCAGGTGAATAATTGAGCGAGCAAGTGAGAATTGCACTAGCACCATCGAAGCAAACAGTACAATGAGTGAAGGAATGAGTGAGAACTAAATAGCGAAGGCCACAGTGGTAGCGGTAACGAACTGTGGTTGACGCGTGACGGGCCTGTGACTGAGGTTGGGACTAAGGTTGGGAAGTGTCGAAGCAGAGGACCGGAGCGCGGGTTACCAGCCGAGCCGTGAGGTTGGGTTGCGACGGGCGAGGTGGCGGGAAATGGTCAAGGCGATTGTCGCGAGTGGTAACGTCGCTGAGTGTGGCGAGAATAGTGATGTACGCGCTAAGCAGGGATGCAGCATAAGGAAATGGAAATTTCCTTATACTAACTCCCCCACTAAGGAGACCCTCCTTACTGGAGTGCGTCTACATCTCGGAAATTGCGGCTGCGCAGATAGTCGGTGAGGACAGGGTGGTTTTCAATTTTGTCCAGGGGTACCTAGTTGTCTTCGGTCGGTGTGCGGTCTTTCCAGCGAATCAGGAACTCGATCATGCGAGCTCCACGTGGGTCACGAACCCGGTGGCTCAGAATCTTCTTAGGTGTGATGATTGGCTTGGAGGGTGGTCGTGTCATGCTGACTGGGTGGTGGCGAGGTAGTTGGCTTGTGGAAGGTACTTAGGGCCGAAGCAGGCTGACATGGAATGACGGGCTGACGTACCAGTCAGCAGGGAGGAGGAGGTGGGCGGTGACGGGGGTGATCATGTGGTTGATGCGGAATGGCCAGCAATATTGAGGGGGTGGAGGTTTTGGGTGTCGAGCAGCACTATGTCGTCGGGCTGGAAAGTAATGGGACGGCGGTGGCGGTCGCCGTTGCGCTTAACAATGACGTTTGATTTTTAATTGCATCTGCTGCCCGGGTCCATGCTGCTTGTAAAATCTCGGCGAACTGCTGTGCACGTGGTACTGGGTTGTTGGGATTAAGCGTCATGGGTACAGTGGGGTCTTGTTCGTAATTCAGGTAAAACGAAGACTATTGGGTCGTGGCGGATGGCGAATTGTTATACGCGAATACGATGAGTGGCAGCTGTTGTTCCCACATGGTTGGGTCGTCACACGTGGCTCGGATGAGCTGTTCCATGGTTCGATTTGTCCGCTGTCTGACCGTCGGTTTCGGGGTGGTACGAAGAACTGAACTGTAGTCGCGTGTCGAACTGTTGCCAAAGGTTCCGCTGGTAAATTTCGTGTCTTTGTCGCTAATGCTTGCTGCTGGTATCCCATGTAGCCGAACGACGGTGGCGATGAAGAGCCGAGCTATTTCTTCGGCTGAGATGGATTTC